GGAGAGGAGAGGAGAGGAGAGGAGAGGAGAGGAGAGGAGAGGAGAGGTATATATGTATATATATTATATTATATATATTTTTCATATGTATACACATACACCAGCATAGGAAGGCGCAGTCCTGTGAGAAACATGGTTTTCTGGAACCACTGAAAGCCCTGGAGGAACCACTTTTTGACCCACCCTCCCATCCCTCCGGTTGGATCGAGATCGATCTCGTTTCCCACGTGATGTCTGCCAACTCCGCTGGAATCGATCTGAAAAGAACAACCTGGTGGAGTTTGCCCCCTTGAAGGCGCTATTTCTCTCTTCTCTACAAAATCAGCAGGGAAAATCCATGCATGCAACTACTATGGACATCTGAGAAATCAATCCAGGCAGGAGTGCAAATCGTGCGGTGCAGTCAGGTCGTGCTGCTAGTAGTTCAACCATGAAACTTTGGCAAGCTACTAGGAACAACAAGCTATATACTAGGGGCTGCTACTAGGAGCTCACTTCTTTTGGACAGTGGACAGTGGCTACCTTCGGCGAGTTACTCACAGCAGGACTCGATGGACAAAGATCTTCCACCACCTTGGAACTGGCTTCTTCAACACACCTGGCTGTAGGTCAACCAACATCCACCCTCCAAAACCATGGCTGTACATTTCTTTGCTGCCTTCTGTGCTCGTCAAACTTTGTGATAGCCATTAAGTTCTCGCCTTTGGACACTACTCCCAATGGGGAAGGGGTGCGTAGCGAGCGGATGAGGGCGCAAGATCGAGTACTCACCATGCCACCTTTGTCCAACATTGGGCCCATGACGAACATGATGAACTGGTCGGTGAACTCGCTTGAAAAAGTCTGAGTCAGTGGGTTCAATCATCTCAACTGAAGGTTGAAAATAACGATCACCCAGTTCAAATCAGGTCTCGACGTTGTCCAGTGGTCCATCAGTACCTGCATCGACAGGATCCAATGATCCATGCAGCTGAGCGCGTTTCTGCACTCTGCAACAACATTAAGGTATAACTAAGCCCAATGGATCCAGTTACCACTATAGTAGTAGGTAACCATGGTTCCAAAGACTAAATCCGTAGACGAAGAAACCCTGGTTCCTTGTGGTTCCTGATATAGTTGCAACTGGGATCCACTAGGAAGGGCTTAAATTGGTAAGGACGCACCAGCAGGTAGCTTCAGGTGGAAGAGGTCCAAAGAGAAGATGGAAGAACTCCGAAGTGAACGTATATATTCGTTGAAATCCATAGTGCCTGCCTGTACCAAAAAGTACCCTAGAAATGGGACATGACTTGTCACCAAATAAAGAATGTACTTGGACCTATTTCCACAGGTAACTTGAAGCGTCCAGGTACCTCTTCATTTCATCACAGTTCAACCTCTCTCTCTCTCTATATTAGTATCTCTTCACATAGGCCTTTGGGTCTTCAATCTCTTCCATGACCTCCTCCGGGCTTTTCCCGCTTGGTCTTCGCCAGAAATCCACCAGCATCAGTGCGGGAAGCCGCAAGAATACCACGGGGAGATCAAAAAGGGTCGGGTCCAACAAACAAGATAGGGCATCGATGATCGAAGCAAGGAACATTTTTGGACATTCATTGGGTATATCCCATCACTAGTAACAGGAGATGATGATGATGATGATGATGGTTAGTCACGGCCTTTCTCCACATCCAGGTGAACAAAACAATTAAGTTAATATAGTTATAATCATCAGAGTTTGCATCGATTGCCCATTCGCAGTCCTCAGGCCCAAACTGACCATGACTGACCTTGGACTTACACCTCGCTAGAGAGAAACAATCATGTCAGCAAGCTCCGCTCGGTCTTTACGCAGTTCTTCGTATGCAGCAAAGATCTCGGGCGGGAGGCATTCCGACAACCTGGGAGATCAGCAGTCAGATTTCCCCGACCTTTGGCAGTCGAGCTGCAGGTTCTGAACAAAGCCGAACAATTCTGAGGGTTTCGATGGCTGATGGGCGGAGCTTGTGCTAAGGCGAACAGGAAAAAAAACATGGTGGGATTACAGTGGGATTCAACTGGAAGGATACACCATTGGCCAACGATTTCTACATGTTTCTACCCACAGGTGTACAGGGCCAACGACAAAGGCAGCTTGGTTGTCAAGCCAACCCAGATTAACCTAGTATATGCCAAATTTGTGAAGCTAACAAGCTAGCTAACCTAGCAAACCACAGTGACCACAACAACAATCCTGAGATAGATCCTGAGATCTTACAGTCTTTTCGGAAGCTTCCGTTTGAGCAGCTGCCCCTGAACGGCTCCGTTTGAGGCTCCGTGGCTCCGCGGGCCTTGAACCTTTGACCCACGTTTGCACACACGAAACAGCAGGGCCCTGCAAGTTGAGGTGTTCTTTTTACCGCCCTGCAAGTTGAGGTGTGTTTTTCGAAAAAGTGTACCAAACACCGCTCCTGCAACATATTGTGAGTTGTGAGGTATTTTCATGATTTTTTGCACGTCCTCTTGACACTCGCACGTCCTTCTGTCGCACATTTGTGTGTCGTTGTCATTTGAAAATTTTGATATGATCGCTGCCTGGTCATGATCGCTGCCTGGTCCATTTTTTGGATACACACTTGGAGTTCCGCAATGC